CAGGTGGAAGAATATGGGTTGTTTGGGACCAGACAAAGATAGATTTTGAAAGTTATGATATACACAAGCAATACATAATAGGGCAGGTAACAGAATTCCAGAATGGCAACAAGTTTAACTTTGGAGCCATTTATGGTATGCATACTGTTCAAGATAGAAAATTATTATGGGAAGATATGGGAAAAAGCATAGCTGGTATTAATGGACCATGGGTGCTAATGGGGGACAATAATACTATTTTATCTAGTGAAGACAGGATACAAGGAACCCCAATACAGGAATTTGAAGTGAAAGATTTCAAAGAGTTCATTTGGGAGGCTGGACTAACTGAATTGAGAACAGTTGGAAAGAAATACACTTGGGCAAACAATCATATCCATAGCAAGATAGACAGAATACTTGTCAATGCTACATGGATTTAGAAATGGCCTGTAATGGAGGGCAGGGTGCTGCGACCTGGTTTTTCTGATCATTGCCCCTTGAGCATATCAATTGATACTGACCAGCATAATGGAAAGAGACCTTTCAAGTTTTTCAATTGCTTGACTCAACACAAAGAGTTTGAGGATACTGTATACAAATGCTGGACAAATAGGGGTGGTGGAACAACAATGAACAAGGTGTGGATGAAACTCAAGATACTAAAGACCAAGCTGAAGCAAATGAATAGTCAAGATTTTAACAGTACTGAACAAAGAATTCTAGTAGCAAGAGCAAAGTTGGAAGTGATCCAGGAACAAATGGTTGGACCTGGAAATAGCAATGAAAGTGTAGCTCAAGAAAAAGAGGCAAAGATGGAGTTGGCTAAATGGCTTGAAATTGAGGAAAGTATAATGAAGCAGAAATCAAGGATTGAATGGCTAAACCTGGGAGATTTAAATACAGCATATTTTCATGCATGTGTTAAGAATAGACAAGCAACTAATCACATTGGAAGATTGACAGATAGTGCAGGGCAACTACTCTTGAATCCTAATGATGTGGAAGCAGAAATACTGAAGTTCTACAAGCAGCTACTTGGAACAGCAACAACTCAAATACCAGCAGTTAATACAGAAGTGATGCAGCAAGGCTACAACCTAAGGAGACAACAACAACTGAAGTTAATACGAGCAGTAACTGAAGATGAAATCAAGCAAGCATTATAGGGTATTGATGACAACAAAGCACCAGGATGTGATGGATACAATGCATTCTTCTTTAAGAAAGCATGGCATATTATAGGGAAATAGGTGACTCAAGCTGTGATGGAGTTTTTTTAGGAATCTGTAATGTGCAAACCAATCAACTGTACAACTATTACCCTAATACCAAAAGTGAAGAACCCCAGTAATATCAAAGAATTCAGACCTATCTCATGTTGTACTACATTATATAAGATTATCTCCAAGATACTAACATCTAGACTGCAGGAAGTCATGCCAGATTTGATTGACAATTGTCAAACAGCTTTTGTGCCAGGAAGATTGATCACAAATAATATTATAATGAGCCATGAACTGGTCAAAGGTTATGGGAGGAAGAATATATCACCTAGGTGTATGTTGAAGATTGATATGCAAAAGGCCTATGATTCTGTGGAATGGGTATTTGTTGAATAGGTGATGAGGCTATTGGGACTTCCAGAAAAATATGTAATATGGGTAATGGTCTGCATCAGTACTGTCTCATATTCAATTATTGTCAATGGGAAGCCAATCAAACCATTTGAAGCAAAAAGAGGATTAAGACAAGGAGATCCCCTTTCACCATTGCTATTTGTAATTGCTATGGAGTACCTATGTAGGCTAATGAAGCAGCTAGGAAACAACAAAGAATTCAGATTTCATCCAAGGTGTGCTAAAGTGAGACTAATACAATTGGGATTTGCTGATGACCTGCTGTTATTTTGTAAGGGAGATGTGCAGTCTGTTATGGCATTGCATAAACAATTCCAAATATTTTTTACAGCTTCTGGGTTAGTGGCAAACACAAGTAAAAGCAGTGTATATTTTGGAGGTGTAGATAGTAGGACACGGCTGAAGATAATGGAAGTACTAGGATACACTAAAGGTGATCTACCTTTTGGATACCTTGGAGTTCCCTTGAGTACAAAAAGATTGTCAGCAATTCAATGCGAGCCTCTGATTGATAAAATGCTTAATAGAATTCAATGCTGGACAGCCAAGTTTCTATCTTATGCAGGAAGAGCAACACTGATCAAAAGTGTGTGGGGAACAATTTAGAACTTCTGGGCACAAGTATTCATTCTGCCAAAGAAAATTATACAATTCATTGAGGCAACCTGCAGAAGGATTTTATGGTCGGACAGTGCTGAACCAACAAAGAAAGCTTTGATAGCTTGGGACAAACTATGTGCACCTAAGATAGCAGGGGGATTAAACTTCACAAACATAGAACTATGGAATAAAGCTGCTATTTGTAAGCTGCTTTGGAACGTTTGCAAAAAGAAAGAGAAGCTGTGAGTGCAGTGGGTTCATACATACTATATAAAAGATAACAATATATGGGATACTAAACCAAAGAATGCCTCCTGGGTAATCCAGAAAATATTCAAGGCCAAGGCACAATTCCAAGAGGCTGGATACTCAGAGGATGATGTGAGGTACAATGACAGTTTTTCCACCAGAAAGATGTACAAAGCACTACAAGGGGAATTTCAAAAGGTGACATGGAGATGCTTAGTATGCAACAACAAGGGAATGCCAAAATGGATCTTTATCCTAAGATTAGCTATACAAGATAGGTTAGCTACTAAAAAAAGACTAGCAAGATGGGGCTCAGTAGATGAAACTTTGTGTACAATGTGCCACATGAACAATGAAACAGTGCAGCACTTGTTTTTTGACTGTGATTATTCAAATGAGATATGGCAGAAGTTACTATCCTGGAAAGGGGTCATGAGAAGAAAAAAACAGTGGAAGGAAGAAGTTCAATGGGCAGAGAAGAATGCAGCAGGGAAGAATGCAGGAGCAGAGATATACAGAATGGTTTTGGCTGCAGCAGTCAACCATATTTGGCAAGCCAGAAACAATATTATTTTTCAGGAGAAACAAATCAATGCACAGAGTATAGTGAAAACGATAGTTCAGGAGATACATATAAGAGCTCAACATTATAAAAAAACTGGATATTTATCTAAGTAATATGAATTGCTATACAGTATGAGCTAAGTAAGGATTGTAATAGGAGTCTAAGGAGTAGAGAAGAAATCTCATGCCGGGGCTTCATGTCCAGCAGAAGATGTCTGTAGTTGGTTTTTGTAAGCTGTAAATATTTACTTAGTAATAAAATTCTTTAATTACCGAAAAAAAAATTATAGCCAAAATAAATAATTTCAAACTATGTATTTTTATAACTTTTTAGATACCTTGACTATTTATTTCAATTGTATAAATCTTTATTTTCAGTTCAAATTCAAAAAAGATTAACTAAAACTTTATTATTTTTGGCCAAATAAAAATATTTAGCCTAAATAATGTAGTTCTATCCAAGTTTTATTATAAATTGTATTCGAAAACAATAATCCAAAAAGTACTATTCTTAAAAAGGTAAAAAAAATATTTTATTTTTCAAAAATATGCCACATAGACAGAAAAATCCACGTGACAGGTGAGTGCACCCACACTTTTTGTCACATCAGTGTCTAGGGGGGTAATGGCTCTCAAAAGGCCAAGTTGAGGGGGGTAATTAAGACCGGGCATAGTTCAGGTAGAATATTAATAATTTGAGCCAAATTTAGGGGCGGTTTAAGGTATTTGGACTTTTTTTTTATAGAAAAATCAACACAAGTGTAATCGACATCATTTGTTGAGGATCTAATAATGTCAAATAAGATTTTTTTTAATTGCGATTTTGTTATATACTTTTTAAATTTTTAATAATGTAACGTATAGTATTTTTTAAGTAGTAAATAAATAAATATATATATATATATATATACACACATTTCATTTTAAAAAACTTAATGATTCCACATCGGAATTCATAGTTAAAATTAGAAATGCTTGACTCTCGAAATCCGAACAGTACTACATAAATTAGAACAAAGGAAATACTAATGTTTTCCCTTTTCAAGAAAAGTATGCAAGTAATTAAAAAAAAGGTAGATTTTAAAGTTTTTGAAGGTAAATTAATTTTCAGCTAAGGCAGAAGTTTATTACCTAATAGTGTATGATCAATGCATTGTCGGGTGGAGTATTAATCCTTGCACGCTTATTGACAATTGATATTACCCAAGTGTGCAATTTACTGCATTTCCACATCCTTTGTCTTTTCAGTTTTCCAATGGAAAATCGGCAAGCGAAATTGAACGTCCATATATCTTATACTCACTCCAGTCCAAAATAAGTGATTTTTAGGACTTTTTTTGTGGTCCAAAATAAGTGATTTTTCCAGATTTCAAGAATGAATTAATTATTTTTTTCCTATATTGCCCTTGGAGTAAATAGTGTTGGAGTATGTGTTAGGAGTGTTTATGTGAAGAGATAGTAAAGGTTAATATGGTCAATTTTATTGCTAATTAATGCTAAAAGGTGAATTTCTTAATCTGTACGAAAACAACTAAAAAATCACTTATTTTAGACCGGAGGGAGTAGTACTAAATTCAAGTAATGACTTAATTCAAGAGCATTCATTAATCCGAAAGACTTCTTCATGCGACGTCAAGAGTCCCTCAAATTAATTATTCAACTGTTTATATAAATAGGCTACCTTGTTAATACTAAAATGCTACTCTTATTATTACTCACTAATTTACAGAAACAACGATTGTTGAAATCAACTATAATGGGTTCCTCAGAAAGCACTGCAAATTCCAACAAATGGTTTGGGGTGATGATGATGATGATTATGAGTCGGATTATGTGTGGCTCTATTTAACTATTCCAGCTATTGAATTTTTTTTCCTGTTGCATTTTAAAATAAAGAGAAGGGCAAGAATTAACTCAAATAGTCGCCCACCTAATTTCTTAAATTAAAAATAGACTGTGGTGGTATTTCAACTGCTTAAACTAAAAATTGCAGGTGAAGGTATAGTATATGCATAGTTCATGTATAATTATATGTGTATAATATTGTATAATCTATATATATGACTTTAAAAAGTAAACCTTGAATATGACTGGCTATTTGCATAAAGTTCCCAACTTCCCATCATCAAATACTTTATTGATTTGCGGCTCAGAACTAAGGCAAAATTATATATTCAATTATTCTACACAAGAAGCAACAAAGGGGGTATAAACTATAACTCAAGAGACATGTCAAATTATTATATACATAGATTGATTTGCTCGCACAATTATATATAGAGAGCTTAATTTCTATAAACATGAAATTACCATTAAATCTTGTGGAGAGTGACTTTAACTCCATGCTGTGGACGAAGCATAAAAAGCTGAACAGGGGAATGAACATAATTTGGTGAAACTGAAAACATATAGCGCTGTAGAATCATTGCAAAAGTAACTTTTGCTTCAATCATAGCAAAGTTCAGTCCTAAACAAGTTCGAGGTCCATAACCAAATGGCAAGAATGCAACTGGATTGTTGTTTGTAGCTTTAACAACTCCTTCAGCAAATCTTTCTGGTTTGAAAATATGAACATCTTCTCCCCATATTTTAGGATCACGTTGAACTGCTAATGGTGATATATATAGCTGCATTTGAGGTGGTAAAGTTAGCTTCCCTAGCTGTACTTTCTTGTTTACTTTCCTTTTGATGAATGGAACTGGAGGATACAATCTTAGAGATTCTTCAATAATCATGTTCATCTACATTGATAAAAAAACAAGTAAAAATACTAATTAGAGACTTGGAGCAATGGTTAAGTTGTTTCCGTATGACCTATAGATCACGGGTTCAAGCCGTGGAATCAGCCACTGATGCTTGCATCAAGATAGGCTGTTTGCATCACACTCCCTTGGAGTGCGGCCTTCCCCGACCTTGCGTGAACGAGAGATGCTTTGTGCGTCGGAGTGTCATTAGAGACTATTTAGCTTAAAAGTAGTTGAGAAGCATTAAGCATAGAAAAATACTTTTTTAATGTTGATGTGTCAGGTTACAAGTGGAGATAGTTAAGCCATTTTTAAGGTTAAAATGACTAAGTTGCCTTTTAATTAATCATATACATATAAAACAAAAGGTTTCATTATAAAAGATGTTAGGAATAGAATAGTAAAAATCTTGGTCAAACAAAGTATTTATAAGCTGAAAAACCATAAGTTAGGAACGACCAACATATGACTTTTGGTTGATTTTGGTTTATATGTGCTTTTGGTGTATATAATCCAAAAAGTACTTATAAGCTAATAACTTACCCGAACACCCTCTTAGTATACTTACTCGAATTGATATATGCATGCAATAAAAGGGCAGCCCGATGCACTAAGCTCCCGTTATGCACGGGTTTCGGGGAAAGGCCGGACCATAAGGGTCTATTCTACGGAGCCTTACCCTGTATTGCTACAAGGCGCTGTTTCCATGGCTCGGACCCATGACCTCCTAGTCACATGGCAGCAACTTTGCCAGTTACGTCAGGGCTCCCCTTCGATACACGCATGCAATATTCAACAAAACTTATTAATCCTCAATGCTTACTATTTTAAGTCTTGATAGGCCATCTGCAGTAGGAACATTTTTGCCAAATAATTCAAGAACTTCTTTTCTTGCTTTTTCTTGCCAATTCTTGTTTGTAGCTAGCAAGAGGATTGTCCATCCAAGTAAAGAAGTTGTTGTTTCATGACCAGCAAAATAAAATGTCTTGCATTCATCAACTATATCTTCTACTGATATTCTGTAATCTTCTTGATTAGCCTCTAAGAGTTTTCCAAGGAAATCACTTCCAAAGTTATGTTCTTCCCCAATAATTTCCTCTTCTCTTTTCTTTATTATTCGAGTAATGCTGTCGCGTATACCCTGCTCCAGTTTTTCTGACTCTATTTCATCTCTGCTTTTCCAAATTTGACTACACAAAAATGTAACAAGTAATTTGATTAATGAGTTACTGTTCTTCTATCTTGGTTGGCGCTATTTCACGAATGGTAACTTTCAGTTTATGGTATTAGAGTCATAAAACTAACTTTTGTAATGAAAAAAGTAACTGAACTATGCATATATATATATGTAGAAATAAAAAATCGAAAAATGTTAGATCTGGTCTTGGAGAAAAGAAGCAGGCTGTCACATGTATTGAATTTTAATTAAGCATAATCATGTAAGTAACTCACCTTACATAATATTCACGTGACACCACTTATAAAGGCAAAACCCCATTTTCTGACCCAACCTAATAATCGATGGTTTCACCATGTGCATATCATGGGGTCTTAGTGGTTAAGAAAATGAGGGTCTAATTTTTTTAGTAGTACGACATGGATATTATGTAAGGTAAGTTGTTGAAGTCGCAAACTACTTGTGTTTCCAGGGCTCTATTTGGCATTTTTGGCCTTTATTATTTTCTATGATATATAGTTATACTTGACTTATTTTTCTGTTATAAAAATGCAGCTGGAGTTTTTTTTTAACCTTTTTCCAGTTTTGATTCAGAGATACAAAATTAAGTCTATGTTGCATCTTGTGGATGGACTTACCTGATTCCAGGAAATCTTATTTTGTGAGCATTTCTTGAAACTAGCAAAGCTAACTTCATCAGCATCTGAAATATATTCTTTCCTTCTAAATAACTACTTCCAAATGCTGTCCTGGAAATTATTTCTGATGTTAATATCCTAAACTCTTCAAACACTTCTATTTCTTTTTCTTCATACATTTTCCACTTTTCCAGCATTGTCTCACAACTCATAATCATCATTGGAACCATACTCTGCATTCACAAATATTATTAACAAAATTAGCAATAGTGGAAACAGAGAACTTGGCATATAATATATTTCAAAAAATGCACAAGAATTTTACTTTTAGGCTTTCTCCATGGAAAACATGGTTGGCTAGTTTCCTCATTTTTGTCCATTTTTCGCCTTTAGATGACGAAACACCATCTCCTAAAAGCTTCTTGGAAAAGCCTTCAAGATCTATTTTTGGAAAGTTGTTGTTTCTATTACTCAGTATTTCTTTGAGAAGTTGTGGTTCAGTCACTACTAGTTCAGGTTGCAGTCCATACCAATAGAGAAAATTTGCCCCTATTA